GTCTTTACCAACTACTTGCCAATTCTCAGTTCCCAGACCCAGCTGGCCAGAGAGTTCTCTTTCTGTGAGGACAAGGAAGTTGTGGAGACTGCCAAGCCAGAAAACCTCCACCTTCGGACTTGACTAGTTGTATGTCAACTTGACACAAGCTAGCCCTTTCACAGGGGTCACAGGGGTCACCTAAGACCATTGGAAACCACAGGTATGTACGTTTTGATTCACAACAGTAGCAAGATTACAGTTATGGAGCGGCAATAAAAATAATTTCATGGTTGGGCGGGTCATTACACCATGAGGAACTGTATTAAAGGGTCTCAGCATTAGGAAGGTTGAGAACCAATGAGCTAGAGTCATTGGAAGGGAGGAAACCTCAGTTGAGAGAAAAAAAAAAAACCTGCCTCCCTAAAATCCTGCCGTAGGGCATTTTCTTAATTAGTGGATGATGGGGAAGGGCCCAGCCCACTGTGGGTGGTGTCAGTCCTGGGCTAGTGGTCCAGGAAAGTCCTGCATGGCCTCTGCAGCAGCTCCTGCCCCCAGGCTTCTGCACTGCTTGAGTCCCTGTCCTGACTTCCTTCAACGAGGAACAGTGATTTGAAGTATAAACTAAATAAACCCTTTCCTCCCCAAATTGCTTGGGTCATAGTGTTTTATCACAGCAATAGAAACCCTAACTAGGAAAATCTTTCCCTCCTACAAGGAATAATTTGCCATGCAAATGCTTCCTAAGATATAGATATAATACAGGCAAAAGAACTCCCGACCCCCCCCCCCCCGCCCTTGCTGCCCCTCCAAAAATAAAAAAGGGTAAAGGTCAAGAGAACTCAGTGTATTTTGGCAGTTCAAATACATTCTGCATGGCTCAGCACTGTATGCCTGGGTCTCTGTCCAAGAGAAGTGGAAATATGTATCTGCGGGAGGACCTGTGGGCATGACAGCATTGCTGCTAAGAGCCCCAGCCCCATGTCCGTCACAGATGAGAGAGCAGATGTGGTAGATCAATACAGCCGAGCACTAGCTGGCAGTAAAAGAACCCAGCTGATAAACATAACACAGAGCATCTCAGCAGCACGGTCCTGGGCAAAAGGAGTCAAAGCAAATCCATACTGAAGAAGCATGCTGACGAGACACAGGATCGCCAAATTCTTAGTAACAGATCTCAAGCCCTTGGGTGTGTGGGTGTGTGCGCGTGTGCGCATGCGCGAGCTAGCTTCCTGGAAGCCGTGTCTACACGCCACGAGAGAACAACTTGAAGGGAGGAATTATTTACTGACTCCAAGGTTTCCTAAGGTTCAGTGTTTCACAGCAGGGAAGGCAAGGTGGAGCAGCTCACATCCCAGCAGACAGGAAGCAGAGGAAGAGCTCCGGAGCTAGGATAGACCCAGCTCCGAAGAATACTGACTGACTCCTGGGAGCTCCTTCCCCTGCCAGGCTCTTCCAGTCCCACCGCCCCCTAACAGCCCATTCAGATTTCGAGTCCATCGGTGAATTATCCACTCCTTACATCAGAAACCTCACGACCCACCACCCCCGGAAACTCCCTTACAGCCACGTTTAGGAGCGTGCCTTCCCCATTTCCTAGGTTCTCCTCAAACTGTTTAAGTCGACAGCAAGATTAACCCTCACAGCGCTCACCTAAAACCTACTTCTTTCACTCTGGGCCCTGGCTGTTAGGCACCAGGGGTTGGAGGGCCTTCCTCTGGCTGGCTCCCAGGGACTGCAGCGGGAAAGCACGGATACTCATCTCAGCCCACACTCCTGGACTCCAGGAACAGCGGCTTGTCAGGCAAGCAGTTCCATTCCTTCAAAGCTTCGTCTGTAGGCGCTCTCCCCACTTCGTGGGCTTTCAACACCGAGCGAGCGGCAAAGGATTCTGAAGGTGACTTTTCACCTTCCCAGGGCCCAGAGTCATGAAGTTGATCTCCTTCCCTTTGTGGCTTTACCTGGACCAGCCCTGACCAGTAGGAGTATTCGTTTGAGTATTGCCCAGTGGTGACTGTGGCTACTGGAAACTTCCGGAAGCAGGCAATCATAGCTTTGCAGGCTGGGACTCCGCTCAATTTGGGCTATGCATACTTCTATCTAATAATACGCTTGACAACCCAGGCCCTTTACCTACATATCCTGTGTACACACACGCCTCTGAACAATGCACCTGGCAATGTTAGCAACCTAAGTCCTTCTCCACCGGCATCAAGCTATATCACATGCCACCACAAACAATGGACTAAGTTTCTCCTCCCCTCAATGAACATCAAACACAAACAGGTTCTATTCAAACGTATTTTCAATACCTCCTGTAAGAGGGTAGGAGGGCCAGTCTCTCCAGAACTAGTTTGTGTGAATGAGCATAGGACAAACCGTGTCCTTTGCACGAATTGTTAGGAAGGAAAACTACTTACTGTCTTATACCTGTGCTTAATTGGGAATGCATATGATTACAATTAGATACATTATAGAAAATATGCACAGGGAACAAAGGTTTACATTGTGTTATTCATAACAGCCCCAAGTGCCATCCATTAATGTCAATCAAGACTGTCAGTTAAAACACAGCCACCCATGCTATGCCCCTTAGCAGCCAAACTCTTCTTTCTCTATTTGATTTATTAATATATTTTATGTGCATGTGTGTATGTGTGCCTGAAGAGGTGAGAAGAGGGTATTGGATCCCCTAAACCAGGAGTTTCGGATGGCTGGAGGCTACGATGTGACTACCGGGAACCAAGATTGGTACTCTTCAAGAGTTCAGTATGTGCTTTGACCTACTGAGCTATTTTTCAGGCCCCTCTTCTTTCTCTTGAATCCCACCAAAGGCAGTCTCAAATTGTAACCGGGGCCCTTGAGTAACCTCACTCATGTGGCCTGCTGTTTTCTTTCTAATTGGTACTATCACTTGGCTTTCAAATAAAGTTTCCTTACTACTTTGTAGGTCAGTATAACCCTTTATTTTAATTCCTCAAATAAGAGGCCAATAACCTGAAAACACCTAGACTGGACATTGATAATCAGTTAACAATGCAACTGAGGGAATGGAATTTTACTTACTTGTAAATTTATTATTCTATTTTGAGACAGGATCTCATGTATTGTAGGCTAGCCTTGACTATGCCACTAAGGATGGCCTAGAACTTTTGCTCCTCCCAAGTGCAAGGATCACAGGCAAATGCTACCTTTATGCAGTGCTGGGGTCAAGCCCAGGCTTCATGCTAGAATTCTAGGCAAGCTCTCTACCAACTGAGCTACCTCCCTGGCCCTAATTTCATTAAGTAACTACACATGACTAGTGTATGTCCCCGCTGGGCAGCACACACATGCAGTTCTGAGACCCAGAATCTGAAATACCAAACAGTCTTTCTGGACTCACCTCTAGATGCACTAGATCTCCCTGAGCATAGGTTTTTTTTTTTTTTTTTGAAATACAGTTTTATGTAGCCGATTGTCCTGTCTCTACTTTCAACAGCTGGAGTTACAGGCATGCACCACCGTGGCCAGCTGTGTTTCTAACCCTGGGACTCTTCCTCTTACCTAGTAGCTAGTAGCTTTCCATTTCTCTCTTCTTTCTGTTGTTTGATCCCAATTTGCCTTGAGTTGCAGAACACTGTTCAGGCATTAGACCAAAGTGTCTCACGCATGAGTTGGCCACAAACATCAATTTATTGGCAACATTTTAGAAGGGATCAAGTACCACACTGAAAACAGTGTTTACTGTAAACTTGCTGTGATTTGTGTACGTGCATCTGGGGAGTATATATATATATATATATATATATATATATATATATAACATGCTGTACTATAAAAAGTATGTCTCACTATGGGCCAAAATGCAAACACAAAAATGCTGAGTGTACCATTCAATCCAGAGAGTCAGTCACCCTGGCCAAACGTAGGCAGAGCGAATGGACAGGTCTTCACAGAACAGTACGAATCTCTGGATATCTCACTTAAACAGGAAACCAGGTGTGAAGCACATCTGGACTGGCAAATGGAGAGCTCAACTGGGGTGCCAAAGACCCACAAGCACCGTGCGGAAAAACTTCAAAAACGTTTTTTTCTGTATACACCTGGCGCTGTCTGTCCTTCTGATCTATTGTCAAGGGTGGTATACGCATTTCCCCGTTCTCTATAAGAATATGAAATCGTGAACTTTTGCTCCTTGCTGTTGCTGCTGCTTCAGAAGGATTTCCTTTTATTTAAGTTCAAAACTTCTTTACTAAGTCTGTGGGAACTTCAAAGACTCCCGAACAGGATAAGGCATGGTATGTATATCTGCTAGGGATTTATTAGCCCTGGTGTTTATTGTCTCAGAGCTGGTTAACAAAGATGTCTCCCTTCAGATCTTGGCACCCCCTATGAGGATGGAAGCTGAGGAAGGGCTGGGATGGGAGACTGGCGGGGCTGGTGTTGGTGATCATAGCAGGCATGCGCGTGTTCTCAAGCTTGAGGCCAGCCTGAGCTATGTGAGTTCCTAGATAGCCAGGGCCAGTGTGTGAAATCTTGTCTAAAAACAAAAACAAAACAACAAAAATCGGGGGAAAAACTGATCTAGAGACTCCCTAAGCCCAGGAAATACTTCCAGGTGGTTTGGGCCTGTTTCCTGTCAAGATATTGGAATCAAATCAAATCTGAGCAGATAGAAGCAAATGTTCCATCACTCAAGTGCTTCATCCAAAGACCCAGTTGGAAGGAATAGGCACTGACCTAGCTGAATGGCAGTTCCTCTTCTTAGTTCCTCTTTTGCTCACAGCAAACATCTGTGAGACAGTGGCATTAGACCAGCCACGTAATACCTTTATCATACACTCTGCCTTGGGGAATGAGCAAGATAAACGGCCAGGAACCACGGGGCACAAGACCCATTGTTCTCCTAAGCCCCCCATCCCTGGTGAGGAGGGTCAAACTCAGGGCCTTCAGCATGCCAGACAAGCCCTCTCCCACAGAGCTATAAACCCCTCTTCTTGGTTAAGATTTCACTAGTAGTGGCGGGGCTTGTTGGGATCATGGCGGAGAATCACTGCGAGCTGCTGCCACCGGCTCAGAGCGGCCTCGGGGCGGGGCTGGGGGGTGGCCTGTGCCGCCACTGCAGCGCTGGGCTCGGTGCCCTGGGCCCCAGTGGCGTATCCAAGTGGGTCCGGCTTAATGTCGGCGGCACCTACTTCCTCACCACCCGGCAGACACTGTGCCGAGATCCGAAGTCTTTCCTGTACCGCTTGTGCCAGGCGGACCCCGACCTAGACTCTGACAAGGATGAAACGGGTGCCTATTTAATTGACAGAGATCCCACCTACTTCGGACCTGTGCTGAACTACTTGAGACACGGAAAGCTGGTTATTAACAAAGACCTTGCAGAGGAAGGCGTGTTGGAGGAAGCAGAGTTTTACAATATCACCTCACTAATAAAACTTGTAAAGGATAAAATCAGAGAACGAGACAGCAAAACATCACAGATGTCAGTGAAGCATGTGTACCGTGTGCTGCAGTGCCAGGAGGAGGAGCTCACACAGATGGTGTCAACCATGTCAGACGGCTGGAAGTTTGAGCAGCTGGTCAGCATTGGCTCCTCCTACAACTATGGAAATGAAGACCAGGCTGAGTTCCTCTGTGTGGTCTCCAAGGAGCTGCACAACACCCCGTATGGAACAACCAGTGAGCCGAGCGAGAAAGCCAAGATTTTGCAAGAACAGGGCTCAAGGATGTGAGCAGTACTGACAGCTGAAGAAATGATTTTCTTTCCCCAAGACAAAGTGAACCGCCATGTGCAGAAAGCATGGCTGTGAGAAGAAACCTGCTTTTGATCATTTCTGTGCCTGGGATGGAGGCTGGGGCGGGAAGCCTGTCCACCTGGCTTCTGGAGCTGACACTCCAGGTCATGTTGAACATTCAGGATGTTTACAGCGCAAACATGTCTCCTTCTCACTGGCTGTCATTTCCTCGTATAACTATGCAGTTCTCTTGTATTTCTGGAGTGTTTGAGACTGCACAACCTGCATGGGCTCTGTCCACCTGACATGACATTGGAGCTGCCAAGGTTCCTGTAGAGGCTGCGCCTGCTGGCTTTGAGACAGACCTTTCTTAGCTGGTTAGGAGATGTAGCAGGCCATAAACTTGGCCCAAGCAAGCAAGCTCTGTGCTTCTTGACCCCTGACTTCCCAAGGGAGCTGTGCAAACTGACCACCATGGCTGCCCGTGTGCTGGTCAGAGCCTCTAACACTGTTTCAGATGCTTCCAGAAACTTCTTGCCTAGGCCCTCTTCCTTCTCCTCTGCCAGTAACTGATTAATCGAGTTCTCCAGCATCTAGGACTGACCTCGTCTTTTCCTAAGGTCTGTTGTATGTTGTTAAATGTTTGGCTTAAATGATTCATAAAAACCTTTCGGTTGGGTTGATTGGGCTCAGCAGCCCTGGGGGCAGTGGTTCTGCTGTTGGCCATGGGGACTACTCTGGGGAGCGCTGGACAGTTAGCATTGTTTGATTTATGACCTTGACAATAGATAGGCTTGTGGGGGTTTTTGTTTTTTAATTTAATGATATTAAAATTTAATTCACTAAAATTCTAAGGGGATATTTATACTTTTATACTTTTTTAGGTATCCGTATTTTATCAGCTTACCGTTTAATGCCTAAGTTTCCCCTGAAAATAGTAAATAAAATTGTGTATTTATGAAAAAAAAAAAGATTTCACTAGTAGCCCAGGCTGGTCTCAACGCTGGAGATGCTCTGGCCTCTGCCTCCTGAGTGTCCTCCATGGGCCTCTGTCTCCATGAGAGCCCTCTCATCCCTAATGTTCGGCTCAGTTTCCTAGACTGGAAGCAGGGTTGTACCTCCTGTCCTGCCCTGATCGAGTGGAGCTAGTTGGGAGAAATCTTAGAAAGCACTATTCCACCCTCACAGGCCAGAGAAAGTGCTTCCACGCTTCTCTGTGCCGGGTGTGGCCCTTGTCACTGAGAAGTTACACCTACATTGACCCTTATTGACCCTTAAGCCATGGCACTGGGTCACCATCCCCTTAGAAAGCAGGAGCTGAAGGACTTGGGTCTAAAACCACAGCAGTAAAGCACTAGAAGTCCTTTCTCTGATGGCAATGAGGTGTATTTCATGCCTCGAGGCCCCAATTTCTGGTCAGTTACTTTTGCAGAGATGAAAGAACATTCTGAAGGTTCGCTGTGAATTACCAAGAGATGCACAGATGAACATTCTGGGCCACAGATCATTTAAAAAAAAGAATCCTGGGACCCCCCCCCCCACAATTGCCTTTCCTCCCTGATACAAGCCAAAGGGGCTCTGGATTTCAGCAGGTCTCAACCTCTAACCCAGAAGTAACTGTAGTTACTCCTCAACCCTTAAAACTCCCAGACTATCGAGCTGCCTGGCGGGGACCAAAGGCTCCAATCCCTTTGACATCCCCATAGGCTACCTCCACTTGCTCTATTTGCAAGAATTTTTTGGTCCTTCTCATCAGATTTTTTTCTCTCAATACCATGTCTCAAGCTTTTAAATTTTGTTTTAGATGAACAATCACTTTCCTAAGTGGTAGACAGTTGTCACATTTTCCAGATGAAGACATGGAAACAGGGGAGAGGCAAGTCGCTGGCCCAGAGTTTTCTGGTTCTCAACACCTCAGCAGTGACTCAAGACAAAACATACCACTAAAACTCAAAAATCTGGTAGGGGAGCCAGCTGGACTCCTCACTCAAATGGACCGGGTTGGATAAGTAAACGCCTGCAGGCTGCTGTTTCCCCATCTGTGAACTTTGGATTAGTGTAGAAACACAGAGGTGAAGCTCTGGAAACTACACCACATCATCTAGGGATGAAATACAACCTCCGAGTAAAACAAAACAAAACAAAACAAAAACCCAGCAAAGCTAAGTGAAGACTTGACTCTTAACCTTCTGGATCTCACACCTTCCTACAAAGAAACAATGTTAGACACCTGTCCTGACGGAGTCACCAACCTGTCCCAAGCCGAAGGGAGAGTTATGTATCTGGGCAACGGGCCCCACATAACTAGCTCCAGGTTTATTATTATTGGACACATCCACAATTCTGCAGAAAATTGCCAACTTCCTTCACAGACCAAGGGCAGAGAAGCCTCAGACTGAAATGGCTCCACAGGCAAATGTCACTCAATGTGCCAGACGCTTTGAGGTACTGTCGGGGAGAAAAATGAAGACTTTCGAGTCATGATGGGTACAATTAAAAAAAAAAAATTAGTGAGAGCAGCCCATGTCTAAAGAGTAGACCTAACGGAAGACTGGTTCCAGCCAAAAGCTGTGGCCTCCAGTCTTTAAAGGTGTGACTAGCATGCAGCCCGGGGGAGCAATTTTGATATTTCACGTTAAAGGACAGCAGTAGCTGAATTAACTCTAGGTGATGTGAGTGTACGTGGCGGAGAACTTTACCTGAGTAAGTCGAGGAAAGAGTCCACCGTCTCTTTGGAGACCGGAGGAGACCCCGAGTCATCCAGTCCCAGGCTGCTGGACTGGAGGGTCTGCGCGCCCGCCCCTGGCTTGATGATGAACGCCAAGGCGACCGCGAGTGCAGAGGCGCTCAGCGTGGTGAGGCCGAAGTAAGCCACCGCGATGCCGCCCAGACGCCCGAGGGAGCTGGCATCCAGGGAGGCGGCGCCCGACACCAGACTGCAAACCACCAGCGGCAGGATGATCATGCGCAGCATGCGGAGTAGCATCTCGCCGGGGAAGGCCAGGTAGGTGATCTGAGTGGGGGTGAGCTGCAGCCCCCGCAGCGCCGCGCCCATGCCGGCGCCCACCAACACCCCCGACACAGTGAGCAACACCAGCGCCTGGCGCCGAAAAAAGCCAGCGCACCGTTGCGTTTTGCCAGCCGCCGGCTCGGGCGTGCGGGGCCCGGCTGCAGGCTCTGCCTGGGTGCTGTCGAGGTAGCCGTTGGTCTCGCTGCTCTTCTCCATGTCGCTGCCCGCCGCTCCAAGCTGCAGCACGCAAGGAACTTGGACTCGGAGAAAAGATCGGCTTCCAATGAATGGATCAGGCGGAGACAGGGGCCTGCGCCAGCTGCGGCTCCGTTACTCTGTGAGTCCCTACAGGAACAATTTCTAGAAAGATGAGGAGAGAGGTGGGCTGTGGGCTGAAACCGAGGCAGAGCCCACCGCGCCGCGCCCAGCCTTCTTTCAGACCTGCTGCTGGCTGGAGATGATGCAACGCTGGAGGCGCGCCGGAGGCTGCAGCCTAGAAAGGAGCTCCGGCCCCGCCCATATCGCCCCGCCCCCGAGATTACGACCAATCAGAGCCCTGAGACTCGGGGCCCCCGACTTTCCCAGGCCCCGCCCTCCTAGAGGCACCGCCAGGGGAGTGAGACGGGCAGGCGGGGCTCTCCCGAGGCCGCGGGGCGTGCGGCTGTCGGCCAATCCTGTCGCTCGGTCGCTTCCCGTCCTGGATAACGGAAGTAGTGCCCAGTGTAGGCGGAGGTGCGGCTCGAGAGAGACCCTCCAGGGCTTCTCCACGCTGCCTACCGTCCGGGCCTCGTGGTGTTCATGGAACGCCGCGGTGTTTTCACCCCGGTCGGTGGACGAGAGTGCCCGCCTTCCGCTTTGTGCCAGGGACGATCCCCTCTCCCTCCTGCGGGAAATCCTTTTTTCCAAGGGTCCTGTGTGCTTCCGTGAGGTGAAACTTGCTTCGGTGCAGAGACAAAGGAGTGGGTGAATGAGAAAGTCTCCTCGCGTGCACGCATAGGACTCTAGCAGAACTTTTAACTCTTAGGTGGCCGGGGACTCCCGGTGGGTTCCAGCGTCAAGGTTGCGCCATCGCACGCACCAGCTCACTCGGGCGGTTCCTCGGGTCTCTGGGCAACAGCCTGGTGTAAGACGCAAAACTTTCGGTGGCGTCTCTGCCACATAACCTCAGCAGAAACACAGGTCACCGAATTTTAACTATCTCCTCCCAGGGCTCCAGACTTGGCATGACAACTGCACAACCAGGTGTTTGGCCAGTCTGAAAAACGGTTTCATGTGGTTACAGTCAACGGTTTTTTTTTTTTTTTTCGAGACAGGGTTTTTCTGTAGCTTATGAGGCTGTCCTGGAACTAGCTCTTGTAGACCAGGCTGGCCTTGAACTCACAGAGATCTGCCTGCCTCTGCCTCCTCAGTGCTGGGATTAAAGGCATGCGCCACCATAGCCTGGCAGGATATTTTTTAAGAATAAATTTATTTGCTATTTTTTATTTACTATCTTGACCACAGCAGATAGAAGGGGAACTGCTGCAGTCATTTAATGTATAACTTATTTATTTAATTTAATATATAGCTTATCCTACCCCCTCCCAGATGCCCTAGAAAGTCTTAGGTGTAGCTAACTTAAAAGAAAGATGAAGACAATGTGCAGAAAAGTAATCCTTAAAGCATGTCATAACGGATACCTGTGTGCAAATCAAGATGACCTCGTGAGGAACTTTAAGATGTTGTCCAATTTTTGAGAAAGCGAAAAGCTCCCTACTTGAAGGCCTTTAGCTGTCGGGTAGAGCTTGTTGAAGCAGAGGCTTATTGGTGGGAGGGTAGTGTGCACAATAGACGAGGACCTGTACAGGTTTTTATCTTGTTCCCCAGAACATGATTTATCTCTCAGTGTGCAAGGATGAGTAATTTCTACAGGCCCATACTCTTCACTTCCACGTATCTCTTCCTCCCTTTGTAACTCTTATGCAAAGACTGAAGTCACGCTCTGTAAGTGGGTTTCCAGCTGTCCGATTTACACCTCCACCCAGACATCCTGCAGCATCTCAACTCGGCACACTCAGAACTGATTTATGATTGCCTCCCTCCAGC